TTTTCAGAGATGAGTCAATAGATTGAATGTATGCTGAGTAGGCCTATCATTTCCTCGTTAGTCTACTGCATTCCGCTTGAACAGCACAAAATTGATGATATAGACACGGTCATCATGATTCTGCTTGTAGCGCACTTATGTTTGCTTTTTTCTTGATCATCATAGATTTGATCTCAGGGGAGAACTAAACAGGAAATGTATTTAAATGGGCGTGCTCTCCTTATAGTATAAGTAAGTTGGAAACAAAATAAAGAGAAAGAGTCTTCACCAGGAGCAATTATTATCAATTATTATCAATCATTAAGATGGGGACGCCACTTAGGTGCGTATTTTAACCCAAATATGAGTGAAGGATGAGTGTAGAATGGCGTGAGATGATCTGTGTAGCTTTGTTACTGACTAAGATCAGCTGTTTCATTAGCCAGGATCATTTATTTAAAGCCCAATGATCAGGAACAGCTGGGTCCAGTTTCGAACCATCAAAAAGCTACTGACTTTTCTCAGGATCGAACCGGCGACCACAGGGTAGGGCCTAGTTTAGGTGTAGAACCCATTCGAATACATGGGCGAGGTCACATTTCTTTAAATTAGGAGCAAAGAAACTGTAGTATAGAAGAGTAGACCAGATCAAGGACACCTCGATCATTGTAGATATTGTTGTACTGCTTTAGATCAAGAAAATTCAAAATATCAAAAATACATTGGGCTGATGTGTTGAGGTGGCTAAAAGGATTGGACCAGTCTACGTTCGGCAAGTTGAAATCTCCAATACCGGATAACCAAAAACTAATTTGTGTCTTGTACTGTAACTGAGAATTCCTCCAGAATAGATGCAAATTCAATATAGGCCTACAATGTAAAGTTTTGATTAGGAGGCAGATAGACACCACCCAAGACAAATAAAGAGTTCTTGAGTTTCAAGGCCTCAAAGACACATTCACTGTTAAGAGAAGAAGGGAAGAGATCCCATAGGCCTTAATCAAATTTGTTAAGGATCCCCCCACCACCACTGGTTTTCTGCTTCGATGCAATAGATCTATCATGTACCTGTATACCCTATACTGGTAATTGATGAAACCCAATTCAACGCTGCTTATATCTTCTGTAAGATAAATTTCCACCAGTACAACAACATCATACACGAAATGTCTAAGGGATTGATGCAGCGTTAAGGTCCAATTCCTATGTGGCGACTGATACGCCGCGCGTTTAGAGCCTTACGGCTCGAGACGCTCGTCTTAATTCCTATGCCACAACTCCTGTAAAAAACAACGAATAACCTAATCCATTGTTCATGGTACGGTGAAAAGAGGGATTTCAGAGTATTCTCATTCAGAGACATCTTCTTCAAGTATTGGGGGTGCTTGGGGTTGAAAACGGATGGGTGGTGACGAACCTGCGATCAACTCTGAATCATCCATGAAGGTACACACCTCAAACTCCGTGAGTATAAACTATAACTTCACTACGATAGGAATGAGTTGCATTTACTTTGCATTGAAGCAGTCAATTTTTTCAGCCGCGCGGCTCTAGCCTAGAGTCGTAACAGTCGCAGTATAGGAATTGGACCTTTAGGAAGTCTTGAACGCAAACCATTGATGTTCTGAAAAATACACTTAATTTAGACCATTGGAATTTAGGTGTAAGTTATTTTGGATTCGACTTGGAAATAGAGGGTACTCTTTTAATGTATCTTATAGTAAGGTGACACTCACCACCTATCTTCCTCACATCAAGTAGGCCTACATATATCTTAGTTTCTTAAGATGATTCCGCTCCCTAACTGTGCGATCCCTAGCATTGTGCTTGCACAAGAAAAGAAATGGACAGTACCCTTTAATCATGTTCATGTTACTATCGGTGCAATACAATAATTATGATATTATGAACATACCTTCAGAACGATCCTCTGTTTTTAAGTCAACTCCTCTAACTTCACAACCTAGTTTTATGGGCTGCAATTTATAAAACTCAGTCATTTTGGTGAACGCAAGACCTCTAGGCATTCCTGAACATGTAGTAAAAAAGGCAAGTTGTTCTTGAGGAAACTATTAACCAATCCAGTAAGAAAAAATGCTTGATAAGAGACCACGCCCCGACTAATGTAGGCTACCAGGCTACAAATTGAAATTTTGCAAGGTCCTTCCAAACGTTTAAGTACAGGTCTCTATGGATATGAAATAAATACCACATAAACTTAGCAAGGCCTAAACTTACAGGTTATTGGATTTCAAAAAACTTTAAGATTTTTAACAAGACATCTGAAACAAATAGTAGGGTAACTTTCAACACCATTAGTAATTAAATGTATAACCAAATTTATAAGTTCAAAAGGCCTTTTAAAGCCTAATATTGTCCTTTTTGAACATTTAAATTTGGTTACCGTACACATTTCATTATTATTTGCTAATATCTCCAGTATAATTATTACCAATAGTTAGGCCTTGCTCTAACCTTAAAAATAAAAACTACCGGTTTGACAGTAATTAATTGTGAACGTATAGTACTCTGTGTACAGTAAGTAAATAAATAGTTCACCATCAGAAAATAAACAAACACAGCACAAAGGTGAGTTGTTGTTATTAGCTTAGGCTAGGCTCTCAGCTAGGCTAGGCCTAGGCCCAATCTCGCTATCAGAATCAGACCAGACTTCTGACTTAGAGCTGCAGCTGGCTGAGTGAAAACTGAAAACAGATGAGTTTGTTGGAGGCCACTTCTTCACATGTACAGAAACCTTATAATGACGTCACATGACTATCGACTACTTTTCAGCTATCGGAATCGTGATGGTTTATGCAATCGATTATCGAAGGCCGAAGGGACACGGCTTTACACTTTACATCGTCACTTATTCACTTTGCTGTGCCCGGTGACCATGTTAATAGACTCGTTCTTTTCAGAAAATATCACAAATAATAAAGAGGAAAATATCAGACTCTGAATAATTTGGTGATGCAACCCTTTGTATAACTAATTGCAACTAGTAATAGTAAATCAAATATATAAATTAATACACTCGATATTTTAATTCAAGATTTCTTTTTTTAAGATTCTTAAACTTGCATTGGTTGATATTTTATAATCGACGTTTCCCCAGATCGTAAAAAGATTTAATAATTTTAAGTATCTAATTAGTTAAATCTAAATTACGTTTAGTATTTTATAATATTTGTAAGTTAATGTATAAAAAAGCATTAATTGAGTTAGTTTAGGTAACGTTATAGTGTATTGTTATGCTTTTGTTCAGTTATCTACAATTGAACATTTTTATCCTGATAAATTTAAATATTTAGACCCTATTATATAAAATTCATTCAAATTTCAATTGTTTTTTCCAATTTTCAAAACTCAAACTTTAAAAACATTTTTAAATTGAACTGATCAATTTATGCACTCTAATCTAATCAAGGTTTATTTCCACCAAAATACAAAAATAACAAATAATGCAAGAAAGCAATTATATATGAAGCATAATATATATATATATATATATATATAAATAAAAGTTATTGAGTAATGTTACATGTGAAAGGACTTATGGTATATAACTAAAATGAGAAAAATTTGATTTATTACATTGAATTCATGTAACATAATTAATAAAATAAAATTAAAATGGTTCCTTAACGTAAAAATAAATTTGATGGGAAACGAGACTATATATGGGCACTAGTGGCCTGTGCGTAGGCTTGAGTTGAATAATATAGAATGTGGTACGATCAAAAAGTAATAAACTATCCTACAAATTAATCGGATTACTATACTACTTAATGTTTCTTTATTTATATTATGTCCCAGTACTTTCATTTATAAATAACAAGATAAGGCTTAGTAAGTATAACGTTATTGTGAATTAAATGGAGCCAGAATAATATAATTGGGTAAAACTTATGGTGTTTTATTAAGATGTACCAAAGGGGAAAATGAGAAAAAAGCTCTACTTTTTTCTGTAAACCTAAACCATTGACCATTGACCTATTTTACGTGACTGTAAATTCCATAAAATAATATATCTAAAACAGTCCTCTTGGGCTTCTTAAATTGTCACCTTACACTGATGGGCAATATCTGTTAGTAAATCATTCCCAAACATCAACATAACGTTAACATGTCAAAGTTACAATTATTATTTCACTCTCTTCTAGAATCGATAATAATTCCTGTAATTCGTCTACTTTAATTACAGTTATTGTATTATTGTGGATGCTATGAAATAAATTCTTAGTATTCAACGTCCTGTGAACTCAAGTTTTTTATTTTATAAGTCAGGTAAATACGAAAACAATTGCAAACATTTTGGATGTTCAATCCAAAGTATCAGTAATTATTTTATTCCCAGCCTGTAACGAATATTATTGTATTTCTACTATTTGATTTATAATGGATAAACTACCGAGAGTATTCAATTCGTCAAATAAAGTGTTACCAAAAAAAAAACCTCTTTACTTATTCGGTGCAACCGATACTTACATTCCGAAGAAAAACCCGTAACCACCCGGTACAATCGATATATACATTCGATATTTATGACGTCAGTATAAGGTTTCTGTACATGTGAACTTGTGCTCTCCTCTTGATCTTCTTCTGCTTCTTCTACTAGGTGGCGTTCGCAGAGGCATCCACAAAATTGAGCGGAGTAATCAAGTGTTCATATTATATTGTTTTTGTCATACTGCAGTAAAAACAGACGTTTTTTATGCATGCGTTGGGGTGGGTTCCATAATATCGACAACCGTAGAAATTGATCGAAACTGAATTATTCCCAGTTTGTCGACACTGGAATATTCCCACTTAACCGACATCCCAAATAACCGACGTCGCAAATGATCGACACCACAAATTGTCGACATCCCATATTGTCGACAATGAAATAGTTTCACTATGTCGACACTGAAATAGTCCCAGTATATCGACAAGCACCCGTTCTTCGGAGCTACTCTTGAAAAGGAGTTGTTCTAATTCATCGTTCAGTTCCTCAACTCATGAGTCGTATCGTAATATTTGTTGATTCCGAAATCCGAATTCCGACGGACATCTTCAAGCTGGCCATTTATTGACTAAAAACTTTTATATTGTAAATAAGTTATTTATCTTTTTTATTTCTTTCCTTGTTTACAAGAAAATAGATGACTCGAGTGTTACAAACAATAGTTTGGAATAATGTGAAATAAGTTAATTTTTATAGGATAGAAAACTTAATCAACATGATAACTTATTAACATTAAGTAGTCCTACCAGACACTAACTTAGGTAAGTCACCAACAAGAACCTAAGATACCTTACAGCTTATTCGTAGGCTAATTCTGGATCATCAAGCAATATTGTAGCAAAAGTTTGAATAGGCATTATCCCTAGGCTATTAGGATTGTCTCTTTTTCCCACTGACCCAGTGTCAACTTTATAAGAATTTGTAAAAATATTTGGCTGCACTTTAGTTTATGTCCTACATTCATTCAAATGAAAGATATTAATACATAGGCTATTTAATATTTTGAATATTTCATTCCGTTAGGTTAGGTTTTACCCTAACATTACCCAAAATTGATCTAGGCCTAAGTTTATTGAATGAAATAATCAATATGACTGGGACGGGTGGGGTCGTCCTGTAATCCAGCTACTAGGAGGTCACGAATTGTGGATATTTATAGGCATGCACTGTGGATGCGATACTCCCTGGTGTGGATAACGGCCGCACTAGTGAGTACTAAGACTATCCGCAGTACTATCCTGATAATTAGACCAATTCGTATATACCAAGGCAATAATGTGGTTTGGATTCCACTATAAACCGTAGGTCCCTTAATTGCCATTAGCTGTATGGGCTATTATTTAACAGCTGTGTTTAAGGAATGTTGGCCTTGGCCACTAACAAGACTATACAAGATCGCGCCACTCATCCTACACTCATTTCCATTCATAGCCTACTTGGCTTAAAATACGGTACCTACTTTGTATGGTCGCCAAGTAATAAGAAAGAAAGTATTAAAGAAATGTATTCATTGGAATGAGTGTAGGACGTAAAATTATGTGCTGTCAAATATTCTAGAGCTGTTTGTATTTGGTGTAAGACTAGACTTGGATTATGTAATTCATTGCTCATGACATCAATGTTAATTGTTAATTTTATAGATGATCCTGGAGCAAAGGCTGTAATTTGACCTGAACCCAAATTGGTCTCTATTTTAAATATTGTCTTGAACCAATAAGTTAAGAGGACTAACCTTTCTGGACGACATTGCCATTGACATCACTGCAGATGAGAGAGAAAGAGAGACCAGAGTTGTGGACCCTGGAGGCAATTACCATACTGCCATGATAATGTTACTTGGTCTAACCATAACTTAAGTGAGGTGAGTCAACATTCTTTCCCCTTTGTGAAAGTGCAAACTGCCTTTGCTGCACTCGAGAAACTTTCCACACTCGCCTACGGCTCGTGCGTAAACATTTCTCTTATGTGTAGCAAAGTGCCACTTCGCCCACTAGTTACCTAGTAGGTAGGTAGTAGTAGTTACCTACACAAAACTAACTATTATTAATAGTTTTATTGGAACATAAGGATAATTAATTATAATCTTTATGCAAATTTATAGTTTTTTTATAAAAATTTAAAACTAGGCCCTACTTAAAATGTATTTGGATACATCTCGAAACATGTTGTTTGGAAATGTCTTAATTAGGCTAGAGCTTGCATTTTTGCAAATTGGGAAATAACAAATAATTAATGTTTAACACGTTCGCTACCGAGCGACGCACATATGCGTTGGTCCGGTCACTCCTACAGACCAAAAGGAATGATCATGACGTTGCTTACAGACCAAGTGATATAGGAATAACATTGCCAACAGACCAAAAGAGAAATATCGTTTAGATGGACAAATTTACTTCATATTAACCTTAAGTGAATTAGTAAGCAATAAATATTGTTTTTATTTATCGTTTTTAACAAATTTTAAAACGCTGCATATATGAGTTGGTCAGTCTATTTAATGAAATCTAGATAAAAAGATTACCTACATTTTCGTTTCAATAGACCAGGCGACACACGTTTAAGCGTCGTTGTAAATTTGGTTGTTTCAAGCTTTTACACAAACAAATAAAGAAACTCCACCACTCGCCAAAACTGCAAAGGTTATAACCTTTACATCTGTTCTGAGATGTCGCGGAATGCACAATGTAAACAACAATGTTGCCAACTGTTGTGTGGCGTAACCAATCGTCATATCCACAGACCAAGCGACGCACATTTGCGGCAGATATCCCTCTAGACCGATACGATAAAATCAGGGCTTTAAAATAGACCGTTGCTAAGAAATTCGCGGATTAACCCTCCGAGTGTTATTTATCGCTGCAGCGACTCACAAACACTGTTTACGGCGAAGGCTCTATGACTGACAAAATCGGATTGAACTGGATCGAGTTAGGTATCGTTTTATTTGACAGATTCAGACCTTTCTCCGGAGGTCTGTCTCTAAGCGCTATTCATTTTAGTTCCGAATATTGTAGCAGACAGCTGACGTGCGTATTTGTTAACAGCTTGGTTAACCTCGGACCGATGACTGATGTGTTTTATTACGTTTATCATTGTTTTAGTGTTAAAATCAAAAGTAGTGATATACGTGGTGCATTATAAGAAGATTTAAGTGATTTTGAAGGGCTGGTTGATGATCCTGAAGAAGTAGGTAGTGATAATGATGTAAATTATCAGCCAGATTCCTAGCTATGGTTAGGCTATGCATTCTTAGCTAAACGCTATGTACTGAAATCTGTTTTTTGCCCATAACTTATTTATTTGCAAATCTACTTCCTTATATTATTATATATTTGTAATCCTCATAAAATTTAGAACAAAGTGGCTATTTTCAAATATTTATAGGCCTATAATTTATACAATTTCATTGAGCGCGAACTTTTTTTTTTTTAATTTTCCTTGAAAAATATTTTTTTACCTAAAATTTTTTTTTGAAACAAATGTTCTTTATGTTCTATGTATAATATTGAAGCCCATGATTTTCCAAACAAAATGGTATATAGAACAGTATAATTAACATTGTTTTCAAGCTTCTCAGATCAGTTTTAATAAAACCTTGCAAATGAGCAAAAAATAGGCAGACATTAAGGCCAAAACAAGGGACACTCGGAGTTTTAATAACATTGAACACCGACGCAAGTGTGCATCGTTAGTCTATTTCAATGTGATCAGCTGACGCAAATATGCGTCGGTGGTCTATTGTGAGAAACGAGTCGACGCACAATTGCGTCGCTGGTCTATGCGAACGTAAATTCCATATAATTGTGGTAGCGAACAAGTTAAACCAATTTATTTTGTCTAAACCAAATTATTGTTACAAATTCTAATATTTGTACTAACTTGACTCAGATTTGCTCAAACATTTTCCTATTAGCTGTACCTATTTGAATATCGCAAATATAGAAAGGAGTGTACACACTTGTATTATTTGTTGGACTAAAATTATTTGTATAACACTATTTTTTGCAATATTTCTGTACAGAACTGAAGCCTACCAGTAAAATGGGGGCGTTGCAATTAATATCCTCCGACATTGGAGAATACAGGGAAGAGGTGTCAGAGAAAGAGGAGATGGAGGATGGGGCGAAGTAAAGACTAAGATTGAAGAGAACTAACTAATGGTAAGTTTTGCCATTTACTTAAATTTAATACTTATAAATCCAGGGCCGTGTCCATTGCCCCCAAGCCTATGTCGCATAACCCTCCTGAATTACTAGTATTTAACCAGCATTTTAACTCGTGAGGTGCCCAAAAATTTGCTTTTGTTTTTTAGGAAATGTAGGCTATATTTTTTGACACCATAATTATAATTGTTCTGAATAGTTTTTACATTTGGTAAGTAGGCCTACTGAAACAACAATAATTTTAAGACAAATGGAAAAGCCCCTGTCAACAGAAGCAGTTGAAACAAGTATAAAAATTCTCATACATCAATAAGGTATTTATTTTAGTACTAGTATGGTTCAATAAGACCTTAGAAGAATATAGAATAACACAATTTTTTGTGATAAATTTGATTTATTTTGCTATTAATCTCCTTTTATAATATTTTATATTTCTATAATCTCCTCGAGTCTTCAGAAGAAGATAGAGGAAGTAAATAACAGACTTGTTGAAAGGACGGATGACCTCGAACAATATCAGCGGAGGGACAACATTCGTATTTTTGGTGTCAAGGAGACTAAAGATGAGATCACTGACGAGATTGTGGTAAAGCTATGTCGGGAAAAACTTGGTGTGGAACTGTCAAAAGACGCAATCTCCCGTTCGCATCGAGTCGGCAAGCTGCAGACACCGGGAGACGACGGCAGGGAGCGGCATCGGCCCATCATCGTCCGATTCAGCACATACCGGGCCCGACGGACTGTATTTGATGTGAAGAAGCGGCTAAAGGGGACAGGCGTAACCATCAAGGAGGACCTGACGCACCTTCGCCAGCAACTGTATAAGCAGGCGGTGGCAAGGTTCGGCGTGGGAAACGTCTGGACCCAGGATGGCAGAGTGCTCTGGGTTGACAAGAGCGGGGAGAAGAAGGTGGCGACGAGTCTGACCGACCTACCAGCTTTGGCCCAAAACACTGCTTCAGTTAACAGTTAAGATTCTGTTTAATTTTTATCACCAGCTACTTTTCTATCATTTTAAATTTTATTATGTTATTATACATTTACATTTAATATATTTTTTAATATTTTGTTTATTTTTATATTTACACTTTTAAAGAATAGTAATGAATATTACTATTAAACTGAAATAGATTTTGTTATTTTGTTTTAAATTAAATTATAAAATATATTTTATGATCTTAAAGTTTGAAAGTTAAGTTTATGTTCTCAATTTATTTATATTTATTCTTAGTGTGTAATATGGTATTGCAAACAGTAAATTAATTTATTTATTAACATTTGTTTTTATATTCTTTGCATGGAAAAGTTCACGTTCAAATAATAAATATAAAAAAAAATCAGTTTGTTTACAAATGTATAATGAATATGAGGTTTTATTGTTGAATTTAATGTCATTGAGTTTAGTTTCTTTGGATGTATTTTATTCTAAAATAGGGGAAAAAAAACTTTTATTTTTTGTTCATTTGTGAATTGTTAGCGGAGCCAGACAAGCGTGTTGTTTTATTCTTTACAGTGATTTTGATTTACTTTAATAATTTAAGTAGGTATGTATGTATGTATGTGTGTGAGTGTGAATCAGTGATCGCAGCTTGTGCAGTGGTCTTGGGTGCGCCTGTCGTGACGTCGCGACCTGTGATAGCGAGTCCACAGCCGCACAGTGCTCGCCACAACGACCCGCTTATCTCTCCCCCCTCCCCCACCCATCACCCTACACTGTCCACCGCTGATTGTCTTTCTCGCTCCTTATCTCCCTATCCCAAACACCTGAAAGCGGCGAACATCAATGCCCAGTCTTTGCGTGCTCACATTGATGAGGTTAGAGAAATATTTTGTCCCGGTAATTTTGATTTAATTTGCATTTCTGAATCCTGGCTGAAGCCGAGTATTCATTCAAATGAGGTGTCCCTCCCTGGATATGTGCTGCAACGTAATGACAGGATTGGTAAACAGGGCGGTGGCGTTGCGGTGTATATCAGGGAGGATTTAAAGTTTAAAACAGTCTTTTCTTCACCATCGGAGTACTCGGCTGGGCCAGAATTCCTATTTATTGAGATCAGTTTGCCTGGAGCAGATGCGCTGTTACTAGGAGTGTGCTACCGCCCACCAAGATCAGGGCATCTGCTTGATTTTGAAAATGCTCTGCTTAACGAGATGTTCAAATACAGTCATGTTTTGATCATGGGTGATTTTAACACTGACTTACTATCGTTGACTCATAACTTTGAACACAGGCAGCTGACTACCATGTTTGAATCGTGCAACTTAACTGTACTACCACTCGATCCCACACATCATGTTGCCAATTCTGACACCCTCTTAGATTTAATAGTTGTGTCCAATGACCACGATATCATTCATCATGGGCAGCTTCCAATCCCTGCAATATCTAAACATGACCTCATTTTCTGTGTGTACTCAATCAAATCTCCCAAGCCCAAAGCAAAGTTTATTAAATATCGGGATTTTAAAAATATGAATGTCGCTCAGTTCATGTTAGATGTTTAACAAACTCCGTGGCACTTCATTGAAAATTTAAATTCTGTCGATGAAATGGTTCATGAGCTAAATTCATCCATATTGAATCTCTTTGACAAGCATGCTCCCATCGTTTCAAAACGTGTGACAAAACGAAGACCTGTTCCGTGGATGACCCCTGAAATTAAAAGTTTGATGGCTCAACGTCATAGCTTACTTAGAAAGGCTAGACGCTCCAGCAATTTAGAACTAAAACAACAATATCGGAATCATCGTAACCGAGTTAAACAGCTTCTACGAAATTCAAAACTCAGATACATTCAGAAACTTTTTGAAAATCAAAAGCAACCATCAAATGTTTTATGGCGCAAGGTTAAAAGTCTTGGGCTAGGGAAACAATTTGATTCTCAACCGGTACACATTCCTCTAAATGAGTTAAACGTTTACTTTTCTTCTTGCAGTCAAAATACCAACCAGCATCAAGTTGACAGTTACTTAAATGAACTAGTTAACTCTCCAACCCCACACCTGAGATATCCTGAGTTTAATTTTAAACCAGTTATTCAGTCCGATGTTTTGATGGCTATCCGCAGAATCCGAAGCAATGCTGTCGGTTCTGATGGTATCCCTATTCGTTTTATCAAAGACATCCTCTATGCCATCCTTCCAACTATCACGTTCATTTTTAATGCATCATTAAGGCACCATTCTTTCCCTTCTTCTTGGAAGTCTGCCATTATCCGTCCCCTAAAAAAGATCTCAGCCCCAACCTTGGTTGGGGATTTCAGGCCGATAAGTATTTTGCCCGCTCTATCTAAAGGCCTAGAAAGAATCGTTCACTGTCAAATCACTGAATTCATCACAGAAAACAACATTTTATCTGACTATCAATCTGGTTTTAGGACAGCACACAGTACAGAGACAGCACTCCTTCGAGTGACTGAAGACATAAAACTTGCTATGGAGCGTCGACAAGGAACGATTCTAACTCTATTTGATTTTTCTAAAGCATTTGACTGTGTTAATCATGACCTGCTGGTTCAGAAATTACGGGCCATAGGGTTTTCCCATAATTCTCTTAAATGGCTGAGATCTTATCTGTCAGATAGGCAGCAATGTGTGGAGATTGGTGACACGAGATCAGACTGGGTGACTGTTACATGCGGTGTGCCTCAAGGGTCAATCCTTGGGCCTCTGCTCTTCGTACTGTACGTCAGTGACATAAACTTGACCTTGGTCAACTGTAAACACCACATGTACGCTAACGACTTACAAATCTATGACCATTTTACTGCAAACAACGAAAACGACTGTGTCAGAAGGATCAATGAAGATGTCAACCGAATTGTTACTTGGACTGAGACTAAATCACGAAAAGACGAAACCGATTGTCATTAGCCATTCTCGACTTCGACCTTCAATTGACTTAGACTCCATAAACCCAATCACAGTTAATGGCAAAGCACTTCCATACTACGACAATGTCAAGAATCTTGGTATATCTTTCAACTCTTCACTTACTTGGGACATAGCAGTTACGGACACACGAAAAAAGGTTTTTGCCTCCATACATTCATTGAAAAGATTACAGAATTTTTTACCACAACACACTAAACTACATTTGATCAAATCACTTGTACTACCCCACTTCAGTTACTGCAACTCATTGATCAATGACTTGACTGCGACTCAGGCGGGTATGCTCCAGCGGTCACAGAATTATTGTTTGAGATTTGTCTATGGTCTGCGACGTATGGAGCATATCACGCCATACTACCTTGAGGCACACATCCTGAAATTAAATGATCAAAGATTCATTAAAATTTTGTCATTGGTTTTTTCAATTTTGAAAACAGGCTCCCCAAAATATTTCAAATCCGATTTTAAATTTGTGTCTCATGGTAGTTCACGAATGTCTCGTTATTCTTCGATCACATTGCGTATACCTCATCATGTGACCACAGCTTATGGCAGGGCTTTTGTTGTTACCGCTTGTCGTCTGTGGAACGGCCTACCCCAACACATTAAGACCATTGAAAAACGTTCCCAGTTTGTGGCGGCACTGAAAAAGCTCTATTTTGAGAAGATGGTCTCGGCTGGCGTGTCCTAGGGCTACTGTTACCTTGCGCGTTTGCTGATGCGTGTATGCGAGAGTGTGTGAATGTGTTTTTCTATTTGTTAAATTTTTGTTTTTTTTAGATATGTAGGTACTTGAATTGTTAAATATTTTATGTTTAATTAGATTAAGTTATCCCTATGTCACATTATTTATGTTATATTTTTAATGTCAGGTTAAGTGTAAGAAAGGGCCATGTGGCCCTAACTTTGCCTGAAAAAATAAAGGATTTTTCATTTCATTTCATTTCATTTAATTTTATTTAGCTCTATACACTTATCTTAAAGTTTCTCCAACCTCGTTCAAATTATGTCCAAATAAATAGTACCCTACAAACTTGAAAAGCCTTCAAAATACTCTTCTGTTTCAGTGATGACCAGCTCAATGGCAACTAAAAATGTCCGCACGTAGGCCTTGAAGCGCCCCTATCCCCACCACCTTTCGCCAGTCACTCGCCTGACAGGGCAGCAAAGAAAACTGTCAGATAATTTTGCCACACTCTGTACATTATATTTTGTCCTATACAAAATGGGTTATATGGGTCGGCTCTTATATATTGATCCAAACGTTTACTGCAATTGTGGCAAAATTAAACAATATTGTCCTCGGTTATGACCAAATCGTGATTGCAGGGTCATCATCTTCATCTCCCAAGGTCGCCAGTGGTTAAAATTGTGGGCATCCTCGGAGCAATCGTGAACATCTTTCGCGGTTGCGAGGCCTGATTATCGTCACCCGCGATCGCTGGTAGTCGTAAATTTCGATCACACAATCATTGCAGACGCTTTCGGCTATCATGAGAATACAAGACAAAGTTGGATTATTGTACCCCCTAATTCTAACAGATTGTGGGAAAATTAATTTTCCAAGAGAAAAAGCATTCTTTTGAGGCCCCAAGTGAGTCCCCTTCCCAGGCTGAAGCCCTTGGCAATCGCAGTGTCCACTGTTAGGGGAATACGGCCCTGATTTGGAGGCCTATGTTGGTGTGGGGCCTGGTGCAAACCGTCCCCCCCCCCCCTCAGTACGCCACTGAGTAGCCTACATTAAATAATGATAGAAGTATGCATAAAAAGACTCTTTGTTCAGAATACTGTTTTTAATATTAATTTTTGTTCTGTTATATCCAGGCCTGATGACAGGGTGGATGGCGATGGAGGCATGGAGGTTGGGGGAGAGGAGGCTGAAGAAGTGGAGACAAATCAGTTTGGATCCATTATGTTGATTAGTTTAACATTTATTTTGAACATCAGTATTTAAATTTTTTTTCCTACAGTTACCTAACAATGTACATGTTCTCTCACTGATTTGAGAAAGCAAAGTGGCCAATTCGCTCATCAGTGAGACAATGTTAACATTGTCTCACTCTAATTACTTTGTCTCACTCCAGATTTTCAACGTGAAGGCACGAAATAGTGAGCGCGTAACATGCAGGCAACGCCGTATGCGCGCGAAATACGTTGGCAGCACTGGCTGTAAATCAGCTGGTCAGCTGTTGTACTGTTGTATTTGTCACTTCACATTAAATTAATGTTATATTAAAAGTTCACTTCTGTGTAAAAATAGGTTATGTTTCTTCACCAATTTATTTGTTTTATGGTAACTGTAGGAAAAGTATAATGTGCAACTCGAGTTCAAAGTACAATTACCTCACTCGAGAAACCATTCCTCACTCGCCTACGGCTCGTGAGTAAGGATTTCTCTCGAGTGAGTCAATTGCTCACTTTTCTCACTAGTTGCACAAATAACTATTCTCATTTAGATTATTAAATTAAGATAATTTTATTGTTTTTATGAAGATGTTTTCTTACATTTTTAATATTTGTTTGTACTTCTGCCTGGTAAAAAAAAAACCGTTTATTATGTTTGTTAAAATGATTACTTTCACTAACTGACCTTGTCTTGGGTAACAAGAGATATCTTGATACTTAACTAACAGGGTGCCTGTTCTATGGGGTTGTATAAGTCAGTAGAAACCTTCTTATATTTCGATACTTGGTAAATTAATCATTTCCAACTTTATATAGTATAGATCGCTATTCCTGTATTGATGTACTGAAATGAATAAAATTATATGAAATGAAATGTTGTTTTTTTATATATTTTGATGACACACTATTAAAAAGGCATAACAATATTCTAAAGTTTATAACAGCTAATTTTTGTGTTTTTATTAATGATTTATTGTGACTTTTGAGTGATTGAAGGATTTGTGATTTGGTTTTAAGGAGATTGATGTACCAAATTTTTTTAAATCTATACTTATTAAATACACAAGCAGGTTTTTTTGTGACAATTACTTCTCCAAAATTACTGAACCGATTGACATGTTTTTGGTGTCATTGGAAAGAGCATAACGTGAAGTTGTTCAAGAAACTTTCTCTTTAGGGAAATAATTAGAGAGTGAGAACCTGGGGCCTTTAAAGTTTCGTATTTCTCCATAAGATTAACATGGGAAACAAACATTGTTGTGAAACTCCAAATGTTGTCAGAAATTTAAAGTGAGAAGAAGGACATATGTTAATTGTAAAATTGTGACAGAGAGGTTATGCAGAAAATCAGGTAGTTAATGGTTATTTGGTGCTATTAAAATAAAGACTGAAATTTGTAAATGTACTGGCGACAATGGGTGATACAACGCAAACTACATTATCATTGACAAAGACCAACATGGAGAACCTATTGTGACTATAAGTGGGAAACATTTCTACAACACACTAAAAGCCCATGGTGGATGGAAAAACATAGGTGTGCTATTCCCGTCATATTCTAACGTCACTTGTATTGCAAACAAAAGATCACCTGATTGTAACTGTCAAATTAGTATGTATTTGTTTTGATTTGATTGTTAATGTTTTTTTTATAAAAACACACATTATAAAAACAATAACAACCAAATCAAAACAAATACATATACTAATTTGACAGTTATAATCAGGTGATCTTTTGTTTGCAATCCAAGTGACGTCAGAATATGACGGGAATAGCACACCTATGTTTTTTCCTTCCACCATGCTAAAAGCCAGATCAGCTTTTGAAACATGATAAAATATTTACAAGAAATGTTGATTATGTTGAACTGGTAAGTACATTGTGAGTATTATCATAAGTTACGTAATCTTTGAGTTGACTCTTTTAAACTCATCGGAATTTATAACCTATATTTGTTCTTAAACAAGTTATTTGTTTTTAAATAGCTCCTTTATGTACTTCTTTGCGATTGCTCGATTTGGAGCAACATATACCTAGTTCAATTTATGGGTCAACTTTTTTTTATAAGAACCGGGTTTCGTTATTCATGTAACTATTGGAACACTTTTTATTATAGTATCCATAATACGAGTAAAAAAATTAAACATAACTAGAAAACACCACGTAGGATTCGAATCAGCTGCTTGATATTGACATTTTGTGGACATTGTGTGACTATTTTTATATATTTCAATCTATTGATGAGGGAATTAAATTAAAAACAATTTATTTAGTATAAAAAGTATAGTTGACTTCCAATTAAAAGGTTTATTATAATAAAATAACTGGATTTGTAATAAAACAACTATTATTATAATAAAAAGCTAGTGACATCATTTTTTATGTTTATGAACCATACCGTTTCTGTTCTAATATCGGTGATAACATTTACAGTAATTCCTTTTACCTACGACCTTTTTTAAAGTAGCCGTTTCAGTTAAGTCCTTTAATATGTCAACAGCTGATCTTGTGTCTTTGTTTTTGTGTCAAATACTGCTCCATAAAGATTACATAAAAATTTTTAGAGCCAGTGGGGGGGATTCCTTAGAGAGTTTTTTTAACGCCATATAGTTGTTAGCACTCACCGATGGTCTTTATCACCATGCAAAATTTGAAAATGATTACTTCAGCCATCTTGGAGGAGATTGCGTATTACGAAATGCATAAGAGTCGACGTATAAGAGCTTCGCTCAATGAGTTATACGATTTTAGATTTTTTTAACATAGGGTAGGTAAGGTGTTTACATATTTCCAGCACAAAGAACCATTTTGAACAATATTTTTGAAGATTTTCAGTGTTTGTTCTTGTGTCTGATTAACATGGATATGGATGTCACTGAAATAGCCACCCTGGAAAATATACCACACAAACTGACCTTGTGAAAATAGGGTTAGGAAAGTAAAAAACTGTCATTGTTAGTGTCAGCCCGGTTTTCTGGCTAGTCAAACTAGCATATAACTGAATAAGTTACACACTTTTACCATGGTTGGAATATGCAGGCAACCTTGTGTTTGCATTGAACAGTATGACAGAACAAAAACCAATAACTTTGTGGTAATGTAATGCAAACATCATCTATACAGTAAAAATGAGAATTGAGAATCAAAGATTCATAATTATAATTAATAATTCAGTAATAGAGTAAACAAACAAACAATAAATCTTCATAAATAAAATTAGAGTTTTGTCTGCAAATTGCTCAGAATTATATATTAAAAAGTTTTTTATTAGCTCGCTTATTTCTTGTCTGGTACAAATTTTGCAATCAATTTTATACTAAGTTCCCGATGAGCTAGAGACTTGAAACTTGAAACATAGCTCACAAATGGATGACAATGCAATATTATATCATTTAATTTTCATATTTCCCTTGTGCTACGCCCCAATGGGCTTGTTTTTATTAGCTCGCTAGTCGCTTTCCTACAAATTTTGATATCAATTTTAAACAAAGTTCCCGATGAGCTAGAGACTTGAAATTTGAAACATATAGCTCCCAAATGGAAGACAATGCAATATTATATCATTTAATTTTCACATTTCCCTCGGCTACGCCCCATGGCCTTCCAAATTTTCCATGTTTACATTTTGAAAGAATGTAAATATATCAATTCATTTAAGTCATTTGTAAATTTGTTTAATACTAAATAATATAATTCACAATTTTGATATGGAAAAATAATAAAACATTTGCTATTTAAATTAATAAATAACTGGTACTCCAGCCCCATCTTCAAACTCTCTAAAAGGGTCCTCCACTTCTTCCTTGTCCTCCTTAGACACATGCTGCTGGCCCTTAACGTCGCACAAAAAGGTTTCTTCCATTTTTCTGTTAGGCGTTCTGCCATTGCTCTTAAGGGCACGAGACGCTCTCAAAGGTCGCATTTCCCCCATAAGAATTACATTGAAAACAAATTAAAAACAAAAACAGCTGTACATAAAAATAAACTCACCAGCTTTTTTGGAGTAAGTATTTATGTTTGTAATATGTGAGGTTATAAACAAATCCAAACAGTTAATCAGTTTTGTTGGAAGAACAGAAAATGTCTTGAATTTAAAGGAGAAATATTGAAGACAGGAGGAGGAGACAATTAATAGGAAATCTTATACTTATGAGAAGAGTAGAGGAGAGGCCTGTTCTCACAGTAAGGAATCCAGGTACGCAATCACTTAGGGAGTTGAATCATTTTTGCCAGTTATGCTAAGCAACTTATTTTGGAAGTAAATAAAAAACCATGAAGAATATACACATCGTGTTGTCACAGTTTCACAGTAAACCTACCTAAAGTCAGATCAAAGAAATACATGCAAGAAATGTTTACTGGTATCAGCTTTAAGTCGGGAAACATTTGTAGAAAACGCTAAAAAATAAGGCTGAGTCCTAAAAATGCTAAAATATTTTTACAAGAAACGTTTATTTATAATTTCAAAGCAGTATTAAATAGCGTGAGTATTTCAATTAGGATAGTTACCATAGCATTTAGTCGGGTCTTTTAAACTCATCGAAAATTATGACTGTTATTACTGTAGTTTTAAAATAACTCCTGCATAATACCGGTACTTGACAATTGCTCGATTTCGAGCAACAGGTACACTAGTTCCTGTTGAAATACTGTTCAAAAGTTAATGAAACTTTTGAGATTTTACCTATTAAATAGGCCTACCGGCCTACCACTATCATCGCTTACCTATGATAAAGGTTGTTGACAAGCTAATGGAAGAAAGTATGTGTCAGATTGCCGATACCGTTTATTTTGCATTTATGTAAACAGCTAATTTGAACTAAGCAGCAAAAAAAACTGTGATACGCAATGAGAAATGTCAAAGTAGGATTGTGTTATCTTTACGTTTCTAATTTCATGAATAATTTGTGTTATTTTGTGAATTTTTATAATTTTTTTCTCTATTGTTTAGGTGAAGTGGTAGAACATAATGGCTATGTTTATGTAAACTGTAAATTTAAAGAAGCAAATTGTATCAAACTGTGTCCTTCCCCATTGCATACACAAAGCTTGAGTATAACTCTTGAGTATATATGTCTATACTCCTTTTATCCATGCATGGTATAACTACAATAAGCATTTTATACTTATATGCCAACCCCATAAGGACGGGTACTCTGCTAGTAGATTGGTATATTTATAGTTAGTTACTAGGTAGGCCATACATTCAATCTAATACATAATTATATGAAAAGACACTCAAATAAACCTTAGATTTTCTACATGCCTCTGTCTTAATCTGATATAGACGCTTGAAATAGATTTAACATCCAAACCCATTAAAAACTGGAACCAAAATAAATTATAAATATGTGGAGAGTATAAATGCTTAAGATTTAGAACGAAAAACGTTGGGTGCATGCAATTGATAATAATACATTAGTTCAATAGGTGAAGGTAATTGAAAATTTGT